ATGCTGTTGATACATCGGTTATTTGATAATGAAATTTCGTCTAGATTTTTTTGAGCCGGTAAACTGATCGTGCTATAGCGTCTAAATAAATCACCATTAGAAATTAAAATAATATCTAAAAACTAGACCTTGCCATAGCATCATTATTATGGTATTTACAAGATTTTAAATGGGCAGTGAAATTCCTGCTCATTGGCTTATATTCAACTATGATATCTATGGGCTACAGTTAAAACAGATTACATGACTTCTTCGCGTCAAGAACGTTTAGGATAGTGATACTGACTTGTCACGCACACGACGTCTTGCCATCAACAAAACCGTTTGCTTAAATAATCTGTGCGTTTCATTTTAATCTGTGGAAGTAAATTCGAAAAATCCACTGAAAAAATCTCAGTAAATGACCACCATTTTACTGCGATTATATTTCATCCCATATCATCTCATTTCATTTAATGTCATCCCAGTTGATTAATGTCTCAAATTTATTATCTTCATTTCATTTCATTTCATTTCACTCCATTTTATCATTTTTCATAAAAATAAGAATATAAATTAAAATAAGACATGACTTAAAGGTCTTAGTTAACAGGTCATAAAATCCATAAAAAAAAACAACAACAACAAAAATAGCTAGCAGCAGCTGTAGATGTCGCAACTGTAACTGTCATAGAATAGAAATCAAAAACTTATATCGCGCTAACGGTTTTATAAAGATACACATGTATTGTATATATAAGTTCCGAATAACAACATTAAAATCGTCAGTGTACAGAGTAAAAAAATCCTTTTGGCCGAATGTCTTCCCTTTGTCGTCACCTTATTTCCCTCCTCAGAAGCTACCGCATATTAAAATGAGTGCGAATAACCCGAAAATGTAATCTACTAAGTTTTGGATATTAAATATATACCTAGACTTTTTTATTATTGCCTCTGTAGGCAGACGAGCATACGGCCCACCTGGTGGTGAATAGTTACTGTCGCCCATGGACGTCAGCAATTCCAGGGGCAGAGCCAAGCTGCTGCCTACCGGTAAGTTACCTCCGCAAACCTCGTTCGAAGAAGGATATGTCATAGCGCTCGGGAAACACCGTGGAGGGGAGCTCATTCCAAAGCCAGATGGTATGTGGCAAAAAAGATCTCTGGAAACGCACTGTAGACGAACGTAGTGGTTCTAGGTAGTAAATTATTTGAACTCTGAATACTTTTGGCAACTTTAACTTTATTATAACTAATTGCAATAAAAATGAACTTTTATTTTAATCATACGCTTTAGAAAAAATATTTTTTCAGTCTTGTTGTCTGTTAATAATATTTCACGGCCATTTAGCATTTTTAGATTTAGTTAAAGGAAACTAAATTGAGAAGTTAGCCAGTTAATTTAAGTACGGAAAATCGACTCGGGAAATCTTAAACACTTTTTTGTCTTAATTTAATTATATTTTTTGTATAAATTTCCTAATTTCTTTATGTAGTAAGTACCCGTCGTCAGTTATTTGTGTTTCTAGTCTAAATTGTTTGCATTAACGAAACTATATATTACCTATCATTACCGTCCGAAAGGTGACTGACTACTTCAAACAAAATCAATCTCCATTCTCACACGAAACAATCGTGTCAGTGGCGTTGGAAAAAAAGATACTTCGTGGTCAATAAGTAACTATGTAAGTAAATATTCTGCCGCATCATTCAAGCGAGTACCGATCGAATATAGAAAATATACTGTATTCGTTTTGATATAAGGTTCGATTTGAGATAAGCGGATCGTTCTTGAGGTTGGGAGGCGCATTTACAGAGGCGGCGAGGCGATAATAGCTTCCGTGCGATACTGAATGGAACTGACAGCACCCTCTTGCTTTATAAACTTACTTCAATGTTAATCGATTTTTTTTAAGCGTTCTGATAAAGAAAATGTATTTTTTTTTTAAGTGGAACCAAAATCCTAACGATCTTATTCATATTTGAGCTGTTTATTTTACTATCAACTGTAGAATTATTTACAGTGTCTATTTAGCAGCTTGTGTTGCACTTTGCATTGCTGATACCCACAAACGAAGGTGAATACTCAACATCCGATTTTTTATTTATTTCTTAGATGTGTGGACGAGCTCATAGCCTACCTGGCGTTAAGTCACTGGAGACCATAGACATCTACAACGTAAATGCGCCACCCACCTTGAGGTAAACGTTCTAAAGTCTTAGTATAGTTACAACGGCTACCCCACCCATCAAACCGAAACGCATTACTGCTTCACGGTAGAAATAGGCGGGGTGGTCGTACTTACCCGTGCGGACTCACAAGAGACTCTACCACCAGTAAAATATTAAGATATTTCGTATTCTCGTCTATTGAGCAGTCGTTACTATCTTGACCAACATCTCACCATGATGTGGGATGTTTATGGGCTTCGTTAACCACCAGGCAGGCCGAAAATTCATCTAATTACGAAAAAAAAAAACACGACTTATATACCTTTTTTTGTTATAGTAAATGATCATACCAACCCTTATTAATCTTAAATCTAGGCACCATTATAAGAATGCCACAGTCTTGAGACAGGTGCAAATGCCGAATAATGCCGAGCTACGCCGCTTAAGGATCATAGAAGTAAGTATAGGGGCCAGAATTGATTTATAATCTACGGTATAATCTTGTGCTCATATAAAATCTTACTATCATCTGGGGTTTCAATAGATTTGCCCATGTCTCAATTGATAGAATGAATCTAATAAGTCCAATACTAGATCACAGATCAACTTATTAATCAAAATAATCAGATTTGCCTTTCTTTGTAGAAAATAATAATAGTTTACAAGATCGCGAATCATTGGTCATTAGCATACAGCGAGAAAGAATAGGTATAGAATTTTTGTAAAATTTAGTAAGTATTGAGATTATAGAGTTGTAATGCGAGAAGACGAATTAATAAATGTCTAATTAACAAGTCAAGCGCTACCTGCGTTTCTTACTCTACATAAATATTTTCATTATTTACCTCAACAAAACAGAAAAAACAAATTAGCTTACTGCTTTAAGTTAAATCCGAAAACAATATTTAGTACAACTTAAAGAAGCCGAGCGTCTCGATACCCGATTTTGAAATAAGAATTTCATTTTCATTTGAAAAAAATGAAAAGTTACCTCAACGTTACCTTTTGTGGAATAGTACCAGTCGCAAACAATGAACAATACTGACGAACATAAAAACAATGCATCAGTCAGTGATATAATAGCGCAGACGTGTAGTGGACAATTTACCGCGCCGTGCATAGAGTGAAAGACTCGTGTTGTTTGTCATTTTTATTGCATTGTGACTAAAAGGGCACGTCGAATGCGCTTTTTCGACTGATGACGCTCACTTCGTATGCTACTTGAAAAGCGCGAGGAAGCTTTTTGAAAAAAACCTGTATGTACCTACAATGTTTTGACGTGTTGTTACAACGATCGACACGAATGATGTGGCACATAGATTTTTTTTAAAATTTTAGATACTTCGGGAGCTTTGCGTGCTGATCGTGATTTAAAATCCTATGTCGCTTTAACGGCCAGTCTGAACTTTTCTTAAAAAAGTTCAATGTATTGAAAAAGAAAAAGTATATTTCGAGACGACTGCGAAAAGTTTGATTGGTTTTTATTTTGATCACAGAAAAGGTGTAAGGTTTAATTAAAAATAGTGTAAGAAAAAATGATTTTATTGTAAAAAAAAAGCGTGGGGTGCAAGGTATCAGTAGTCATAAATATTTTATGAACAGATATGAGTAGAAGGGTTATTTTGATAATATCCTGAAAAGCACCCCACGCTTTTTTACAATAAAATATTTTTTTCTTACACTATTTTTAAAACAAATTTATTAAAATTTATTTTCTATCTTTTGGTTGGATTTTCTATAAAAGCGTATTTTTTTAGTTTTTTTAAACTATTATTTATTTTTCATTTTATAGTTAAAATTCAATTGTTTTTTTTTAAATATTGAATTGTCATCGGTCCTCAATAAGTATGCCACATTTCGAGTTAATCCGACGTTTTGAAGGGGGTTTAAATTATGTTCAAAGACTCCGTCACATACTAACATACATACGTCTGAAACTAATAAAAGCGTATTAAAAACGACACCAATATTAAAGTCTACGCTGATTTTGGCTAGATAACGGAGAAATCTGTCACATTATTATCAACTTCCAGAAGAGGACATAACCCCAACGTTCACCAATTTTTGAGTTCCTTTTCTGCCCCCATCTAACAGATTACCGAAACCTTCATAAGCTTGTTAGTCCACTTTATGGAATATCTACCCAAAACGCGCGTTCCGGTGCGGAGTCACTACTCAAGATAATTTTTTCCCATGTATATTGGCTTTTGGCAGATTCGGTATAATTTTAATTTATCATCAATGGGATTTATTTATATAGGTAGCATATCAATATTAATAAAAAAAAGTTATGCGAATATTCTTGAATGACTATTGAATGAGTATAAATCTAAATTTTTTTTTTGTACAAAAAAAATATACTCACAATTTATGTTTTGTATGAGAGATAGAGAAATAATCTCGCAACATTTTCAAACATGTAACTGAGATAAACATTTAACAAAAAAACAACATCGATACAAACAAAGTCCTTCGTCCACGACGTAGTGCATTTGATGAAACTATGTTCTCACGTCGTTTCTTCAAATGCACTATCTAATTCTCGAAAATAATCTTTTTTTGTATCAAAATATACCAAGTTTTTCAAAACGAAATCGATTCGCCCGACTAAAGCATCCGGACGCAAGCTATCACTTACTAAACACGTTACAGCGTTTATGGTCGATTGCTTCCTGAGCAGACCGCCATTAAAATATTGGCGGCACATTCTAGACCGATTGATAGTACAAAAATTATAAATTATTCTGAGTAGAATCTTGGACGAGGGTATTAAAAAAAAAACACACGTTTTGAAGTTCGAACATTAATAAAAAGGCAGAGCGATCATGCATAAACAAAACGTAACATACCCATGAAGCAGGAGGATATCGCGGGAACGGCGCGATCGTCTTCGTGGCGACATTACTCGGCAGCTCCTGTTTGATGCCTCTTTTCAAGCGTTGTTTTCTCCTCTCCCGAGATTTAGCTCTTAGCATAAGAGCTGCCTGCATACTTGCCAGGTTTGTGGCCTTGGGGGAACGTCGGCAGAAAGTTCAGCCTCAAGCCGACTCACTGGCACGAGGCACGTTTCCGCACAGAACTTTACTTCCTTATTATGTACCGCTAAGTCTTTTAAAACCTATCCAGAGCACTTTGTTTCCTAACTAGTAATTTTTGAAAAATATTATTTAAATATTTACAAGAAAAAAAACACTGATATGAATCTATATTAGTTCGATCACAGAATTTATTACTTTCGTTTTAAATCACTTTAGAATAAGAATAGAGATAGGCACGATAAAGGCAAGAAATTATCTAAATAGAAGCTAATTGATCTCTTTTATAAATTCACTTGGTTGTGTAATCTTACCCTAAGATATGTTTAGTGAGAAAAATTACTTAAATGGAAGCGAGCGCAATTTGGCGTTTAGAAAATGTTATCTTCAATTGTTTTTTTTTTTGTATTCATTTCGAGTCATGTTTCGTTCCTTACATCAAGTCGCAGTCTTTGGTTCTTCGAGACCTTCCATCGAACGCTAAGTTTCTCTAGGTATCGCTGTTTCATGGCCAGCCCACTTTGATCACTTCACTGAATAACACTTGTCCGAAGAACATATTTAGCACCCGAACTCTTGAAGGCACCTAGTTTTTTTTTTTTAAAACACAAACTTTGGCAAACTGCGGGCAATTAAGGATATCTAAAGATCGGGCAGCGACATAAACAAATACACGGCATAACGTTGCATTGTCTCGCATTATAAACATGCTTAATCTAACTATTTCTATATGAAAAACATTGACATGGCGTACTTACTAAACTCCGCACAGTGGCAGCTACAAAATATCGAGATTTACAAGTCAACCTAAGCACAACCACAACATAATACTTACGTCAAAATGCCCGAAAAGACCACAAGCTTTAAACTCTATTCAATATGAATTCAGCAAATGCATACATATTTCATAATCGTTTCGCATAGATCATTAACACCGATAATATTAAGTTATAAGTACTAATATATAAATCTACAATGGTTTTTACGGATGTTCCGTTATAACTACTGAACCATGTATCCGATTGACTTGAAACTTGGTATCCATGTAGAAAATACATGTACTTAATGGATAGGCTAATATTTATATGAGTGTTGGCCTCTCTAATAATAATAACAATAAATAATAATGTTAATTTTAAATGCCCAGCGAAGCGGGCGAGTACGGCTAGTAATTTTTTTTTATATTTGCTTAGGTGGGTGGACGAGCTCACAGGCCATCTGGTGTTAAGTGGTTACTGGAGCCCATAGACATCTACGACGTAAATGCGCCACCCACCTTGAGGTATAAGTTCTAAGTTCTCAAGTATAGTTACAAAGTTTGTAAAAGCGTTAACTAACCCAAATTCATACGACAATATGTATGTACGTTTACTGCTGATATTATTATGAATGAGGTTTATAGCGCGTCGTCTGTTCAGGCCTGCAACATGCTAAACTAACACAGAGACACCGATTAGTTATGTTGGCAGACAGGAGTACCTCGGCGAGGTCGCATGTCTCGGAGAGGGGGGCGGAGAGGGTGCGCGGCGGCGGGGGCGCCTGCAGACGCGACTCCCAGTGCTGGCAGGAGTACGCGCGGACGCCGGTGGGCGCCGGGTGGAGCGGGCTGCGCGGACGCGGACTCGAAGGCGCTGGCTGCCGGCCGTGCTGGCGCGCCTATCCAACCATATCAATTAATAGAAACCATATTATCCAACCATATCAATAAATAAAGTGGTCCCGCAGTAGTCGAAATTCGTCTATAACTAATTAATATTTTTTTTCATTGCTAAGATGGGTGGACGAGCTCACAGCCCACCTGGTGTTAAGTGGTTACCGGAGACCATGGACATCTACAACGTAAATGCGCCACCCACCTTGAGATATAAGTTCTAAGGTCTCAAGTATGGTTACAACGGCTGCCCCACCCTTCAAACCGAAACGCATTACTGCTTCACTCACGGCAAAAATAGGCAGGGCGGCGGTACCTACCCGCGCGGACTCACAAAAGGTCTTACCACCAGTAAAATTATAAGACTACTATAAATAGATTATAAGATATATTTCTTTTTTATTTAATGCTTTATTAAACATTGTGAAAATTTGCATCAAATGCTATTTTGCATAAATCACAAAGTATTATAGTATCCCAAAAAAGGTATTTATTCGAACTACAATCACTGTGCAAGGGAATATGAAATGGTTTACTGGTGGTAGGACCTCTTGTGAGTCCGCACGGGTAGGTACCACCGCCCCGCCTATTTCTGCCGTGAAGCAGTAATGCGTTTCGGTTTGAAGGGTGGGGCAGCCGTAGTGGCTATACTGAGACCTTAGAACTATATCTCAAGGTGTGTGGCGCATTTACGTTGTAGATGTCTATGGGCTTCAGTAACCATTTAACACCAGGTGGGCTGTGAGCTCGTCCACACATCTAAGTAATAAAAAATAAAATAAATAATCCAATAATTTAGTATATTTTTATTTTTCATTCGTTTCTCTATTCCATCCACCATAGACTAATTGGGCTTTTCGAGACTGTGGTGAAATAAATTACTTCTACCCTATTTCCGCGTTCCGTGTTCCATTGTAATTTCGAGTAATTTGAATATTAGCCTAAAATGGAAAGCATACATTGCGTAACATTACAGACTGCTGTTATAAATTTATATATATTTTTATTGGACTTAAGAAACGTAGCTGAAAATCTACTATATATTATTTTCTATCTTCTACTACAATTACAATTGACTTAGAATATGACATATCTTACCAATCAAAACGGAGTTTATTTTTATTGCTTCATGAAATACCAAAAGAAATACAGAGCGTCCGTAAAATTGAAACAATGCTTGTAAACAATTGTATAATTCGTTGATTTGAACGTACCTTACGGCCCGCGAGCGACGCGCCGCCCGCCGCCGCGTACATGCACCGCGGACGCCCACGGCTTACCTAGCGCGGTGCATCATACAAGCAGCGCGCGGCCCTCGCCTGCCCTCAGTGGGCCGCCCGCTCCACCGCATCCGTGCTTCTATTGTGGTACACCTACGATGTTACAAAAACTTCACATCACATTTATTTATTTATAACAACCACGGGCATTAGTTTACTTAAGCTATTAGAAAATTAAGTACAATTTTGTATTAACTTAATAGAGTCGAATCATATTTGTAAGACTTTTAAGAAATCGTTTTCTTTTTTGTGGTAATAAAATTAAACTTCTCATAATATTTATTTATTTATAACCACTACGGCTATTAGTTTACTTAAGCTATTAGAAAATTCATTCAAATTTCGTATAAACTTAATAGAGTCGAAGCTTATTTGTGAGACTTTTAAGAAATCGTTTTCTTTTTTGTGATATGAAAATTAAACATTACAAAAATAACATTTATTTATTTATAACCACTACGGCTATTAGTTTACTTAAGCTATTAGAAAGTTCATTAAAATTTCGTATAAACTTAATAGAGCCGAATGTTATTTGTGAGACTTTTAAGATATCGTTTTCTTTTTTGTGATGTTTAAATTAAACGTCTCACAATATTTATTTATTTATAACCACCGCGCCTATTAGTTTACTTAAACTATTAGAAAATTCATTAAAATTTCGTATAAACATAATAGAGCCGAATCTAATAAGATTTTTGATTCTCACAAATTATATGTGAGACTTCTAAGAAATCGTTTTCTTTTTTGTGGTAGTAAAATTAAACGACTCATAAAATTTATTTATTCATAACCACCACGGCCATTAGTTTACTTTAGCTATTAGAAAATTCATTAAAATTTCGTATAAACTTAATACAGCCGAATGTTATTTGTGAGACTTTAAAGAAATCGTTTTCTTTTTTGTGATATTAAAATTAAACCTCTCATAACATTTACCTATATTTATTTATAACCACCACGGCCATTAGTTTACTTGAGCTATTAGAAATTTCATTCAATTTTTTTATAAACTTAATAGAGTCGATTTGAATTTGTTAGAACTTTTAGAGATCGTTTCACTTTTAGATTGAAGTTATAACTTTTAAAGCTAAAAACGATTCAAAGAAGAATTTCACGGTGAAGAATTAATTCGTATCCTATATTAACAAAACAAAAACAGTGAAATTACAAAATTATATTTGCATAACACTGTTGCAAATTGTAAAGGCTACAACAGTACCTAGTTAGAGTATGTTCGCTATTCTTGACCCGAAGCAATGATGCGTTCTGTTAGAACAATACACCCTTTAAGCAATTGAGAACTCGATCTAACGTCTCAAGTTGGATGGTGACGCTGACGTTGTGATGACTCTAGCCATATGTGGACAACTAACATCGAGTGAGTCATGAGCTCTTATAAATATAAACTAGATGATGACCGAGCTTTGCTCTTTATTTTTTTTGATAACGCCATCTTGTTGTGTCTAAAGCGGTTAGTTGCCTTCAATTAAGAAAAATAGTATTATTATTCGCCAATAGATTTCGGGAAGAGTTGATTATTGAAAACACGAATAAAACAACATTTTCTGAAAATAAATCGTAGTTAGATCGATTTATCGCCCCCGAAATCCTCTGTATACTAAATTTTATGAATATCGTTGGAGCCGTTTCCGAGATTCAGATTATATAAGTATATATTAATATACAAGAATTGCTCGTTTAAAGGTATAAGATAGAATATTGAAAGATTAAAGTACTTTAAGAGTTTGTCCAGTGGAGCTGTTTCATTTCACCAAACATCACATGCTTAATATTGCAGATAGCGTTTTTAATACATGCCTTAATGTAAAATGTATTACATTAAAAAATAAATTCGTAATACTATAGGTGAATTCGAAATATGACCGTAGACGAAAACTGGTGCTAACCCTGGTGATTACTCATTCGACAATGTCGAGATCGAAATTATTTTTGCCATACCCGAAGCACACATGTTATCAATACCAACGCTTTTCTTAAATTTTTTTGTCCACACTTACAATGAATTATGTCGAAACAGTAAACGGATTATTCTAAATATTATATAATTTGAATTAAATTTCAATAACACATTAATAAATTATGGATATACTTTAGATAGTTACATGTTATTTTCAGCTCTGTTTTTCAACTGATGCTATTGATGTGATGATATTTTTTCTTGTTTTTTTTTTAATTCTGTATGAGGGCGGACGACCTCACAGCCCACCTGGTGTTAAATGGTTACCGGAGCCCATAGACATTTACAACGTAAATACCCCATAACCACCTTGAGATATGAGTTCTAAGGTATCAGTAGCAGATCGTAGTAGAGTAGCATTAGCGTTATCTTTTGTTTTAATATCGCCTAATAACTTGTTTTCAAGATGTCAAGAACAACAAATGCAACACCTACAATGAGTGTAAATCTTATGGTGTCAATAATTATGGCAGAATTTTGATCATTGGGCGAACACGGGTAAACATAAAACTCTTGATGTTGCATGGTCTTAAGTACTTGCTTCGTATTGCTGACAAATGCGATTTTGTTGGGGCTGTCTCCCTCACCCTCATGCATGGTAACTAAATGCAAAATTCAATCAAATGACGCGTGTTGTCAGTCAAGGCTTCGTAAGACAGAGGAACCTTTATAATATC